AGAGCCATCAGACCACCACAGATGGGGCCCAATAGGGTCGATGCCGATTCGGAGTCGCGGACAACCTAACGGGTAACCGGGGCTCCGGCTCGACGTGCAGGAGAAGGAACGGGGTGGTTTTTAGTCAGTAAGAGTCTGACACTCCCTCCCGCCTCACCCAGGCGGGAGCAGTCATTCGATGATTTTCCCCAATAAAAAAAAAATACACCGACTGCAGTGCCATCTGCCGGGATGGTTTGTGAATCTAAACCATTCCCAGATCCCCTTGAATACACACAAAAAATCTTATCAAAATCGGTCCAGTCGTTTGAGAGAAGTTCAGTGATAACACTCACGGAAGAATTATATATATATAAAGATTTTGAGCCATATCAATCATTAAATGTCTATTAAACTAGTCTAAATTATCAAATGGAATTGTAGTTAAATTGTCATTAAGTTAGTTGGTCAGGTCAAATGCTTGTTTGAAGTTAAGTTTTTAAAAAAAATCGTAAATAATTAACGGATTGAGAAACAAATACTAGTTTTGATGCCTTGTTAATAATAATGAGTATTGATGATTCAAATCCAACACTATGATTAAATGGCGTATTCAAGGTTTAATAATGTTTGTACATATACGCTTTAAATATTGATATTGATCAAATATTTTATTGGCTGCTATTCAAGTTGACTCATGTTTAAACGAACGTCACTTACCTACCTATCTACTATTCAGAAATGAACTAATCTTCCACCTGCAGGTTCACACGCAATTGAAATATACTCCTTCATCTAGTAGCTACAAATTAACTCTTCTAGTATTAGATACGGGCGTACGTCGTTGGCGCTGGTCACATCACTTGATATAAATTCCCAAAATTTGTTATACAAAAGTAGTCTCTAATCATAAGAAATAAGGTCTATAATTTAGTTAGTGGAGAGCGATCACTGGGATTGACCTGTGATATCCCATAAGAAATAGACTAACTAATGCACGTTTTCATCAACTTTTCTTATAGTTTGAGGAGCTCCTAAGCTAAGATAGGTTACATTTTATATTATAGGCAAATAAATTATTTCTGACTAGCTGTGCTCGCGACTTCGTCCTCGTGGAATAGTCATTCCCAGCTCCTCTGGCCTCCCCCGTAGGTGAAAGCGTAATAATATGTAGCCTCTATGTTGACCCGACCTTTTAGTAATATTCATGCAAAGTTTGAAGAAAATCCATGCAGTACTTTTTGACCCGGACATACAGACATATATTCAATGTACTTACAGTTTTGACTTTTCTATGATTTTATTATATGTTTAGATAGATAGATTTTGATTTCTAAACCCTCAATCCCACTACGAATTCGAAATAGCAACAAAAGTCACCGAAGCACGAAGGTATCATTATCACATAGTTTATTAATATTCAGCGCTTAGCTCTGCATAATGAGTTAGCTGGCGATGGGAATACTCCATCAAGAATGACGAGTGTTTTTCTAAAGAATTGCTTGTTAGACGCATGTTCCCATAAGATTTACCTAGATCGTCAATCTCCTGCTATTGTTGTGTAAGGTTTTAACAAAATAAATATGTAGGACTTTGGTATAGATATGTATGTAGTTGATAGATAAATTAGTAATTATTTAGCGTGTTTCGTAGACATGGAAATTAGGATGATTAAGATGATGTGTATGCGAAAGCATGAAGCAAAAATTATACCTAGTTATCTGCTTAATCCGCTCTGTGAAAAACACAACGAATATTTCTTGTCTACAAAGAGTACCTAGCGTTGGCATAGGTGCCTTCTTTCAGACTAAGAAAAACTTAGGCAGCTTAGGTATACTATGTAATCATTTGGGTCAAATTTTATCGAAATCTCTTTAGCAGTTTAGACAAAATTCAGTTACAAACATTGATTTCTTTAAATACAATTTTGGTAATATCATAAAAAAAATCCAGTCCATTTTGGTGCACGGTTGGTGCGGTGGCTGGTCAATCGCCTGCCGTGCAACGTGTTCCGGTTCGATTCCCGCACGAAACAACACTTTGTGTGATCCACAATTTGTTGTTTCGGGTCTGCGTGTCATTGTGTATGTGAACTTGTATGTTTGTAAACGCACCCACGACACAGGAGAAAATCCAAATGAGAGGCAACGTTTTGTTAAAAAAAACAACTATTAAACTGTCAAACACCAAGCGGTCACCGGTGACCGCAACCTATTGTTCTATAATTGTGTCTATAATGTCGGTACTCGACGAGTTAATCTAATAATTACTATAATGAACAAACAAACACAATTTAATTAGTTCAATATAAGACTGGGGTAAACAATAACGCTAACAATTCTCAGCCTATTACATTCACTCACAAGAAGAGATACAAAACATACAAACAAATACAGATCAACAACCTTAGCACATCTTGCGTATAGGGCCAAATCATTGACTCCATGGGAAACCCACAGTTTACCATCAATGGTGGGAACCTAATTGTGAATACAAGGTGTTAGTTGTTACCCATCATTTACAAGACCGGGGTAAGTAAAAACGCGGAGGAATCAAACCTATGATTGAATTGCTATCTTCGTTTTGTTTCAATTGTAGTTGTAGGTTCTCAGGGAAATGAGTGACGTTGATGTTAATTGAACGAAACAAGTGAATCAAGTGAATTTATATAGAAATAGGCTACAAGGCAGCACTTTTACACGTCAATTTTATCAAGCGAACGATGAGGCCGACATTTCCTAACTGACTACTCTGATAAGAAATGCCGAAAGAAACTCAGAGGTCTGTCTCTTTTACAATCCAGACAAATAAACGATTTTTTATAAATATTTATGTGTACTTTTAATAGACGTTGAAGACGGATGAATAGATAATAATAATATAATAAATAAGTACTTCCAATTGAACAATTTATTTCTGATTGAGATCTTCCCTTCGTGTTTCAAACGAAGTAACTAAATTAACTAAAAATTACGTGTTACTCACGTAAATATACCGAGAAAAGTTCTACTAGTTTCGAGTCACAAAAGTACTCTTCTTCATGAGCAACGTGCGCGGTCGCGGCGATGTCGCGAACGAAGTGATTAACAATGGGGAACTTCATAGTAAAAGTAGCATGGCCATAGGTTTTAACCATCTTAGTCTATCACTTGATGAAGTGTTTAACACTAATGTAATGTTGTTAATGAACCAACCTCTCCTCGATCTCCAATTGGCATTGGCTTTTTACCTGTTACATGACAGAACAAACGAACTAACAAACAGAGTTACTTATTTCATAATGAAGTGATTTATAACCTGCTATCAGTAAACCATTAAATTCCAACGTCTTAATCATGTCTCAATTCAT